GTGAATGACACTAAATGTATTTATAATCCAAAGTTAATGCCTTACTTTGTGATGGAAACCCTATCCAATTTTCCCGGACTTCCCGGTCTATTTGTTTCCTGTGTTTTTAGCGGTTCCCTAAGGTATTAATTGATTTCATTTTGTAAATACATATTCATTTAGTACGGTAATTATAATTTGATTATTGATTAGTACGCTATCGTCCGGTTTCAATGCGTTAGCGACAGTCACTTGGGATGACTTAGTAAAGAGATATTTCCGGAATATAAGTGGCAAAAAGCAACTTCTCATCACCAAATTTATCGGTTATTTTTAATACTTTATTTATTTTCAAACTATTTTAATAACTCAAAACATTGATAAATACATTTTTACAATGGCAACACTTGCAACACTCCTTAACATTAAAATAAGTTTAGAAACAGTTTCATTAAATACAATAATATTTTTTAAATATTTTAACAAAAGCCATGACTTATGGATTGTTGGCGATTGCAATTGCTTTCATTGTCGGTCGATTGGGAACTGTATTACAGGTATTGTTTTACATTTGATTTCAATTGAATTAATAAAATGACTGAATTAAAATACTTTCTACGATTAGGCCTCATATGCATTGTCGGGATCAATCACTGGTCCACTTCTATCCATGTTTTGTTTAGGAATATTCTGTCCCTGCATTAACGCTATTGTATTACACTTTGTTTCATTAATAATGAAATAATTCAAAATTACTTAAGTTCTTTAAATGAAAATTTGTGACTAAAGGGTGCCATTTGTGGACTCGTTTCTGGAGTGGGAATATGTTTGGCGATCACAATCGGAACCATTATATATCCGCGACCGAAAGGCTTTCAACTGCCCGTTTCGGTCACGTCTTGTCCGCCAGAAATATTGAGTCTCGTGTCAGAGAAGACATGGATGTCAGCCGCACAGAGACAGTACTCCGTTCACTACGAGCCACGGTAGTTATAATTAATGTCTTAATCAGTATAAAACATAAAATAATTGTTTTCAATTATTTTTAGGGGAATATTGAGATTCTTTCACATAAATTATATGTATATTCCTGTCATTGGATTTCTTACGACATTAATTGTCGGTTCAATTGTCAGTCAGATCTGT